ATAAAGTGACGGAATTCACCATCTACCATATTTATTTTTTGTAGCACACATTTTCCATTTATTTTTTTTTTTAACTCACACCCACGGTTTACAACATTTACTACATCACCATATTTTATTTAGTCACCCCCACCTTCACCGTGGCCGTAGCCGGAACCCTCACCATGACCATATCCGGAGCCGCCGCCGCCGCCTCCTCCCCACCTCCACCTCCACCTCCACCGCCACCTCCACGCCCTCGTCCTCTCCCAGACCCAGCTCGAGACCTGCGTATGACCCAGCATACGAACCTGCCTCAGAACCTGCTCCTGATCCATAACTGGAAGATGAGGAGGATGAACTGGATGAAGAACTTGAACTGGAGCCAGACCCAGACCCAGACCCGGATCCAGCTCCTGCCCCGGATCCACTTCCACCTCCTATGCCCAACCCCAGCCCCGCTCCAACTCCAAGGCCCAGCCCACCAAGGTCCAGACTCAAGTCCTTCCTCTCAATAACCCTGCTTTCTGATACGAAAGCAGACACGAGAAGAAGCAGAGCGAGCAGAGAGCAAGACCAGGATGCAGAAGCACCCATTGGTAACGAGGAAATAATGAAGGAGAAGGCAAGCTATATAAGGAAGAAGATGATCGATGAAGTTTTGATGGCAAAGTAAGTCAATAAGATCGAGTGAGAGTTTTCTGATGGGGGAGGTGAAGAGTTTTGACCCTATATATATAGTTGGTGAAGGTGTGAGTGGTACATTATTTTATGGGAGATATTAGAAAGTGGAGAATGTGATAGACACAAACTTTGTGGCTGAAACTGCAAGAAGCAGAAGCATATGACTGTGTTGGTGACAAGTGCCCTGCAGGAACCGACCCATTTTATATCCACTCAGGCACTCACGATAGTGGAGAATGAAAAAGCTGTTCACATACATGTTTTTGGTTTGGTATTTGTATTTGCTTTGACTTCAGAGGTTCTTGTTGGTGCCAGCTTTGGGCTAGGGTTTTGCATATAGCACTCACACTCATCTGCAAGAGGCGTGCTGGCTTTTTACTTTTGTATGTTTTATAGATCATTTGTTTATTAGTTTGGTAGTGGCAACATCGACATACCAAATTAACAAGAGGGTTGATTCAATTTCTCAGTTCATAATTTATAAGATTGTAAGTTCAAATTCTATTGCTTATGTGAAAGTTTTGTCGGTGAGTGATTTATAAATACTCCTTCGATCTTTAATATAAGACCCAATTTTTGAGTTAGTTTTGGTCCTAAATATAAGACCATTTCTCATATTTATTAATTTTCTCTAAATTACCCCTATAGATACTCCCTCAACCATAATCAAGTAAAAGAGGGAGATGATGTATTAAGAAAGATGATTATGGTGTTTTAGGAAAAATGTGTCACTTTTCTTGTAATTAACTAACTTACCTAACTTTCTTAATCTAATCAAATTAGTTAAATGAGTTTTATATTAAGAATTGGAGGAGTATCTTTATAAACAATCTCTAAGTTTAGAAGTATATCTGACCTTAGTGAGCTCTGAAGACTCAGCGTACTTAATTTTTTTTTTTTTTGGGTATAAAAAAAAAGGGAAAGAATACTACGAGACAAGTTCGTGAGACTGCAGCTGGGCATGATGAGAAATGAAGGGTTCACGCAGGAAGATGGGTGCCGTACGTGGGAACTTGTGAGCGGCGTAGGTGTGGTTCCTGTTTTTCTGTTGTTGTGGTGGGATTCAATAGTGGGATGATCATCCTATGACTTCACTGTACTTGTTAATGGACGTAACAACTGAAACGTCTTGCCATTAATTATTATGTTGAGGGACTCGTAGCTAGCAAGCTAAGACTAGGCCAAGGGTGAATTATATGTCAATTGTGCACCGCACTTAACTTGCCAGTAGCTACCTACATTCTCCGGCTTCATCATTTTTTTGTTTTGGCCAACGATTCTCCAGCTTCATCGTCATAATGCTATCCTTTTCTGATTCAGGAACTCTCCTCTTCGGCTCTTCCCCCCTCATATTTTTCCTCTTTCTTTTTTTTTTATTAACTATTGAATTAATATTTTAACGGTCATATTTAAATATTTTTAAAATTATTATTAGAGTTTTAAATTATAAAAATAATTAAATAATAAATTACAAATTATATTAAATTTAATTCTAATGGTTTGCAAATGTATTAAATATTTTTAAAATTTTTTATAAAAAATTAAAATCTAAACTGTTAAAATATGTTAATCCAATGGTTATGGGGCAAAAAAAAAAACAGAGAACGGAAGGGGATAGAGAGGGAAGAGGAGAGGTTCGGAACCAATCCTCTTCTCTCATTTAATCTCCACTCTAAAGCCGTTTATCTAATCTTTGCTTCCCCAATTTGATTATCACTTCCTTGAAAACTAGATTCAATTTGATTCTTTTTTACTTCAATAAAAAAAAGGTGAGTCCTTCACATCGCGTAAACTAGATGTTATTTATTTGTCCCCCCCCCCCCCAAAAAAATGCCTTGAAAAATGTCTAGCCTCTAATATGTATATATTATGATCAATATAAATCCACAAATTGCCTTATTTATAACTTCACGAGTGATATAAATATAATTTTTAGTCATAAATATAAGAGTTAATTAGGGGGTTGATTTTGGACCTACATATAAAATCTTAATCAATTTTATTTAAATTAAGTAATTTATCTAACTTCTCTAATTTAAATTAACTAGTTTTCCCATTAGAGACATGGAGATACTGCTTATCTCATTCCACACACTATGCGAAGAAAGGTGTCTGTGCAGGTGAATGAAGAATCGTGGTGGATATAAATTGGCATGGCCCACTGGGCTTAAAGGCCCAACTAAACATGAATAGATGTCATTCGGTCTTCCTATGGTACTTATCGTTTAAACTCAATGGGCTGTTCAAATTTGAAGTTCCCATAAAGCGTTGTTTAGTTTCCTGCACAGAATCATTCGTATTCCGTCCCGAACGACGACTATCTCTCGCTCATTTCTTGATCTCTGACTCTGTTCTCTCTCATGGCGGAGGTGAGCTTGGATTTTCTATGACATTCTTTTCGTTAGTTTCAATTTTTTGTGAATCTTGTCACGGCGGGAAAATTAAAGCTATCAATCTGGATGGTTAGCATTTTAGTCTCGTTTTGCTGTCGGAATTTCATGTTCTAGTCCCTCCTTTCTGATCTCGCTGTTCGTGACTGCGCTTCTTTCCGCTATTGCATTATGAGTTCCGATGTTTGTTGCAATCTAGACTTATTTTGTTTCCTGAATTATTTGATGAATGCTTGTCTCTGATTTATTGGATCCTTTGACCGCGAGCCAATTCTCCCCATGATAAGTTGTGCTGGGAACGTTCTCAAATAGGTCCTAGGTCGTCTGTGCTGCTATGATGCCCAAGCATTGCTTCCTATTAATAACTCTTCTTGTACACAATTTGTTGGAATCCCCTTCTTTCTTCGAAAAGTCCTTGGTTCTACAGGGTGTTTTTTTTTTTTTTTCCTTTCTCGACGCTTGTAAGTTCTTCTAGCATTTGGTGATAAAAGTGCCTTGGCAAGTTTTACTGCAATTTTCAAGACTCTTTTCCCAGATCTTTTTGGGGTACATTTTCATATTGGTTTCATCTATAAGGCTGTTATATCATTGGTCTTTCATAAATTGACTGAATATTGTCTACACTCCTAATCAATTCTTCATTTAGCTTCTGCGAACATCTACTTGGATTGTCGCATGTGGAAGATATATGAGAAGCTGAGGAGTGCTTCTAGTATCTTCATTCATTTATTTGGTTGACAATGATATTGGGGAGGGGGGGACCTTTGTCTTATTGTGTTTCAAACTGAACATCTAATATTAGATATCCTCCAGCGTTCATTTGAAATCTGACTTATCCTGTTTGGTTTTTAACTTCCTATCGTCTTCATTTTTTCCTTATACTATTTGTCTCCTATGTTTTTTCAGATTGAGCTCAAAACAGCGCCTGCTGATTTTCGCTTTCCTACAACCAATCAAACCAGACATTGTTTCACTCGCTATGTTGAGTTTCATAGGTGGGCTTTTCTGACACTTGCTATCTTGCTCAGCAGAACTTGTTTCTAGATTTTGTTCTTGAACTTTAAAGTTCAACTACAGGTGTGTGGCAGCAAAGGGTGAAGGCTCAGGTGATTGTGAAAGATTTGCCAAATATTATCGTTCCCTTTGCCCCAGTGAATGGGTAAGTGGTCCTTAGCTGACTGCTTTTGCTTGAATTGACTGGATTTTTGTGTAAATATGAAGATTGACAATACATTTAAGACATATGCTATTTATGATGGCCAAAGTTTGATTATATATAACCCTTAACGTCAACATCATAAAGTTCTCAAACCATTTGAAATTAAAAGAGTCGTGCATTTTCAAGAAAATTAATGACCTCCTTATGCCTTTGTGTAGTCTCAAGTATTGTTTGTGATTCGCCTTTTCAGACAGCATTTTAATTGTTAGGTATTGTAGAATGTAGATACTGTAATGTAATATTGGTGATTATGTACCTAGCAGCTGAACCTAAATCAGGGATTTAATCTCTTTGGTCTAGCAATTTGACTCTCTGTGTGTGTGTGTGTGTGTTTCAAAATCAATACGTGTCACGTGTATGTAGAGTGCCAATAGATTAGGCTATGCAACTCTTTCCAGCTTGTTACATTGATGGATACTAGTTCGTATATTTAGAGTCATGGTGCTGATATAGATATAAGTCATGGAGACATTCCTTTAGCTCACTTGCTGGGAGTTCTGAGTCTGACAGTTTTCTAGTCAACTTCTGTACATTCTGAACTAGTAGGTACATGTCACATGATGAATTCTGTAATCGTGTTAACAGAATATTGGGCTGGAGGGACATAATGACATGGATGATGGATAGCTGCCTTGGGAAATCTACGCGGGTGAAAAACATGTGGAAGGGAGTTAACCAAGGGAAATCTATGGGAAATTTGTTAGAAAAATGGGAATATAAGTGGGGCTGAGGTGAGGGATAGGCAGAGTTTGGGGTGGTTTGTGGGGAGACCGTTAGGAGGCTCTAATCACTTGAGTTTTATCAATTTTCTGGTTCTGGCGTTCATTATATTGCTTTAATTCTCCATTGCTTGTAAACTGCGAGTCACTTAATTCAGAATTATGACCTCTATCTTTCTCTATAGCTTTCTGCTTCTGTTCTTTCATTCTGTGTTTCTCTCTTGCTGGTTCCTTTCATATCTGGTCTATAAACAAGTTACAGATTACTGAATTACATGAATAAAAGAATTGGTTGAAGACAATAAATGTGTAGAAAACATGCTTTTTTCAAAAATATGCGCTTATGTTTGGAGATGGTGAGTGTTAGGGAATGAGTGGAAAAAGAGATGAATGATGATTGGTGGGAAAAAGAGATGTGAAAGACATGTAATTAATTGGGGGTAAAATTAGGGAAAAGTGAATTAATTTTTCAGACAAGTCCTAAATGTAAGATCTATTTTTTAGTGTGAATTACTCACATTACAAAATAGTTTTTACATTTAGGACTGGAGGAGTAATTTGTATATAGGATCTGAGGGAGTATTAGAAATGATCTAGAACTTTTGAAAGGTAACACATCCCTAAAAGAATGAGTTGGGAACGAAAAAGTTAATTTTTTTCCCCCTCTGCGTGTATCCCTCATAACGTTTTGTTTAGTGAAACGCATAGCCGTTGCTGAAGTCGCGAAACTACAGGATTGCTTAAAACATTCGGTGTTTTGAATGATCAATGCATGTTATCTTCAAGCTTCATGTGCAGATCTTCTTTTCAAAGTTCCTCCCTACTTTGTGGGGCTTAATAATGTATTGCGTTGATATTGATGGCTATCTCACATTGCATAATTCCGAAATAATTTAAATGGTTGAGTGATCTTGTTATTTAATCAAATGTGCGCAGTTGTGTATATATTCAATTAAATGTTAATTTCTTCTACATATTTTTTTTCTGTTCGGATTAAAATGTTGCAGGTTGAAAAGTGGAATGAGCAGAGGGACAATGGAACTTTTCCGGGGCCCCTGTGAGGCATTTTCAGATCCCAGGATACCCTTAAGATTATGCTGGTTGGTTTTGTCTGATAATTTGGTGGACTTAAATGTTAATACGGTCAAGGTTGATCAATAAAGCTTTCTGTATTTTCACTGTTGCAAGTTGACAAACTGTCAAAGCCCCCTTGTTTGAAGTTGATTTGGTTCTGACTAATGGAATTGTTACTTTTGTTTGACACATTTGATTTTTAAGTTTTGCAGCTCCATCCTCATCGTACACACTCCATCCCACGCCCTCTTAAAACCAAAAATTAATATATTACACACGCTTGATAGAAAATTTTTACAGCAGAGCCGAAGTCGTCTTCTGTCGGCAAGACTCAGTAGTAAATGTGAAATTCCTTTGTTGAATTCAGTATTGTTATAAGCAGACTGAATTTTCTCAAAGCGTGCTATTTGATCAAGATTGATGTATTACCACGGTCCTTCCACTTGTGGGATTAAACAGCTAAAAGGATTACTATAATTGTGTTGGATGACTGACTAAGTCATTACCCATATTCACACATTATCCCTACAATGGAGACTTGTCTTCACCACGTATCTAGTGACACTTATCTCTATGGATATGCATAATTAATGACGATGTTGTAGGCCAATTCACAGCTGAACTCCCTAGTCCCCACCACAAATTCATACCATAAGTTTGCTAAAGTTTCTTATTCCTTTATTCTAAACATTGATTTTTACTTGAAGACTACTTATGATTTATTCTTGCTACTTAGAAATCTTTGAAGTTTTGATATTATTTTACATTTACCCATACAAATTTGTTGCTTGGACGATCTTCATATTTTGTCCGGGGGAAAAACTTCAGAGTCCAGATGATTGTATAATTTTTACAGCCGGGGGTTTACCCAACGTCATCGACACATATTGATATGGCTCCCCCCCCCCCCCCAAAAAGAGAATGCTGAAGACGCCCGAATTAAAAAAAGGTTCCAGTGACATCCGCTCATATTAGCTGTAGTTTCATGTCTCTCCTGTCATGATTTTTTGGGTTAGGGTATTGCCCTTTGTTTAGTATTAATAAGAAAATAGTTTTGATTATAACTTGATGGAAAATACTTCTTTGTTTAAGTTTAAACTTACAAACCCTTAAAAGGAGAACACGCTGTTGCTTGAATGTATTTTAAGGAGAAAGTGATATATTTAGAAGAGAATCGTATAGAAAAAGGGTAATTAAAATGTTTAAATACTCCATGGAAAGAGCATGAATGGGAAAGTGCAATGTGGGAGCATCATGAGATGTTTGTCCACTATGACATTAAAGGGAGCAGCGCACGTGTTCCACGATTTGATCCCAGCACCCTCCACCTAAGTCCCTTTCTTCTGCCGCCCCATAATTTGTATCATTGCTTTATCTGTCATCTCACTTTCATTTTACACTTGATGCTGATGCCCATATCATTTGGAATTAATACTAATTAGGCTTAAACACCTTAAATTTTGTTTAGGATTTGTTTGGAATGACTATTGAAGCTTTTAAAAATAACTTTTCGATTGTGATTTATATGATATGAGGTGAGGTAAGTATGTGAGGTTTCAACTTTTGTGAAAATGATTATAAACACTTCAAAAAAAATGTATACAGACAAGCCCTTTAACTGGTTTTTTTTTCCCCACCTGAAAGCTGCTTGACTGGTTGCATATTCGACCCGGTAACTTTTGCATCGGGCACATATTGTTGTGACGCGTATACAACCAATTTATATGATGAATGAGATGGTTTCAGTCCAAAGAAAAAATTTGAGGATTTGCCGAGCCAACTTTCATGTTCGTGGATGGAATTTATTATAATATAAAAATACACACGCACACATGGGGCTCCAAAACTGGCTGCTTAAAAAGGTTTCTTAGACTCAACGTTTCTCCATTTTACGTCTCTCCATGACAAATGAAGAATAAAATAAGGCAATTACGTGCCATGGAAAACCTGTCCGAATTCATTAGTTACTCCATAATTTAAGGAAAATGACAGTTGAGTTCCAAGTTTTCATTTAACAATACTCGTAGTATAGTTAGGCCTTCAAAATTTGTTGAAAGATAAGTTACAAAGTATAATTAATTTATATTGTCACCAATACAAAACTCTTACTTGTATGTCAGAAAATAATCACAGTTAAGTCTTATAATTTATGTAAATTAACTTTTCTTTGTTTGCAAATTAGTCCCTTATACCCAATAACCCAAATAATATTTTTTTGCAAACCATCTCTTCTTTGCACAAACTTAATTTTTTCTTTTATGTGCAACTTATATTTTCTTATGTAATCTATCATCTTAAGAATTATTTACCAATTAATTTTCTTAATGAGAAATTTGTTCTAATTCTAAATACATGAACATATATCATGCTACCTCTAGTTTTATTTATAAGACCTTAGTTATAGACTATAGACAGAGTCTTATAATTAGGAGCAGAGGTTGTGTAAAGCAATTTCATTTGCAACGAGTTGGAGAAATTCGTGAAATGCTTCGTCCTTTGGTTCAATTTAAGATCCAACAACCTTAATTTCTTTGTTTCTTTCTTTTTTTTTGCCAAACGAAGGAGATTTTTTTGGTTGATAATCAATCTTATTTAGCAAAATAATAAAACGATACATAATAAACCACCAAATGATTCCGGGTTAGGACCAAATTAGGGGCTCAAATTTGACAATCTTAAAATGATTTCTAAAAATTTTATTTTTATAAAGTCTCTAGAAACCATTCTAGAATTAAATTCTTGCACGAAATGAGCTAATTGTTCTCATATAAAAAGAAATTCTTTTTATTATTAACCGCCAGAGCTCCAGCTGTTTGCATTGCTAAAGAACTTTTGGACGAGTGAAGTTGGCCAATGCGAGATTTAATCTCACCACCTTTCGACTCTTAAAAAAGTATATATGATACAATTTGATAAAAGAGAATTATCATGTGGTTCTAAGAAATTTAATTATAAAAAAATCTCAATGACAAGTTATTAGTCTGAACTTATTATTATTCTCTTTTCTATAACTTGTCATTGTATGCTCTTTAATTATCAATAAATTTTATAGTAATTAAATTTCTTTCCTAAAACATGATCGTAATTCTCCCTTTAATAACATGGTGAAAAATATTAAAATGACATTCTAATCAGTGACAACTATTTTTTTTAATTTACTATCTTTTAAGATTTTAAGCACTGATCCATCAACTTTTTTTTTTTTTAACGGAAAAAGATTATTGAAAATTTTTTAATAGCACATGAAACTTTTGTCTATCAGTGAACAGAAGGTTACAAAAATCGAAGTTTGTTGAAGTTGTAATTTTTCTTTCTTTCTAATACTTCTACATAAAAAGGTAAAGGTTTATGTTTTGATTAATTTTTGTTTTGATAACTTGAAATATTTTTATTTTCTTTTTGATCAATTCATTTAAACTTTGAATAATGTTTAGATAAATTTATTAATGTTTAAAATGAAACATACATTGTATATCCTTTTACGTATATTATCATGCCAATATTAGACAGTAAATTAATTATGGACGCGCACTAGCTAAAGTGGCTTTCTTTTGTTCTCATGTGTGGAGTTTAAGCAAACGTGTTATGATGATATTAAGTGATGGGGCAGTCAGTGGTCAACCCACTGATAATAACTAAAAAGATCTTTTTACTAATTCTCACATAATTAAATATCTTACCCATACCTACATATGCACACCGGTCACCTTTTCTTTTTTCGGTTTTTGCCCAAATTATGGTCTTGATTAAATTTTAGAGTTACTTTAAATACTTTAAGAACAGAAGCTACTATTTAATTGTATACCGTAAAATTCAGATCTTATAACATCGCAACAAACAATCTAATAAATAAGAAACAACATAAGAGTAGAAACAATCAGATCTAATGAAATTATAAAAAATAAAAAAACCTAGCTGACTTTCCCAGAAATAATATCGATTCATATTGCTTCACACAATAAAATATATTTGTTAGACAAAGTTCAAAATTATTCATTAAATATACAAATAGAGAAAGAATATAAACTTAAAATAAATCTAACGACAATGAAAATGAGTATAGATACTCATCAAAAAACAAAAAGAAGATGAGTACAGATCTAGGTAAATGTGAGTATCTGGATGACAACACAATGAGAGCTTGAGATAGCATGGATCTGGATGTGATGAGCACAAATCTTGACCCAATGAGCATAGATCTAGATGGTGTGAGCATGGATCTCTACTTGATAATCATGGACAAGTCAATGAATCTTAAGAATATGACAAGTACAGAGAAGATAGTGGGCTATAAAGGAGAGGAGCATGAAGAAGAAGTCACAACACAAATGAGAAGATCATGAAGAAGAGGACTAGCATTGAGCTTACTGGTGAATGAAGCATGAAAAAGAGGTTGCGAGGTAACTTAGAAAGATTATGAGATAATGAAGTTTTGTAACATCCTAGGTTTTAATCCTAAGGTTTAGGGGTATATAGGCTTAGTTTTGGATAATTAAGTTGGTTAATTGTTGACCTTTAAGGTTTATTGGAGTTTGGACAGGATAGGTTTAAATTGAAGGTTGAAAAAAAAGAGGAGAAACAGCACTTTGGTGTGAGTTGCGGCGGCAATTTGTGAAAAAACCCACAGCTATTTGGCCAGACCAAGTGATTTTTCCTTATTGTGCGAAGTGCTACGGCAATTGGTAGAAATAGCCACGGTAATTAGTTTTTTTGGATTAGGAGTTTTGAGGATTTTGGAGGCTAGGGTTTATGATTCTTGGAGATATATGATAATAGATAATAATGTGGAGTTTGGAAATGAGTTTTGATAATTGGGTTATGTTAATATGAGTTACAATAAATGTTTAATCGGTTTAGAATATTGATTTAAGTTGATTTTCATATTTAAGTATTTTTTATTATGAACCCTAGATTGTGTGAGACTTTTGATTAATTGGTGTAATTAGAAGTCAATTGAGGATTCTATTGAGTTGTTTCACCCATTGGAATAGTGTTTTGAGTTTTGGGATGGTCAATTTGAAGTTGAATTGAGGATTGGCATAAGCCAAGGGATTTAAATCCCCAATTGTCATTGTTAATCACTTAATTAGTTTGTTAACTAATATGTGGTAAATGTGTGTGATTGTGTAGATTGTTTGTAATTGATGTATTGTGCACAGGACAGCTTGCTATGGTAATTGATCCTATCTAAGGCGAAAGATAACTACTTTTCATTCATTATATATGTTAGTATGTTGTTTGTAAGTAGTTTTATTGTTTTCAAATTATAAATGTTATTTTGGCATATACTTGGGGCTATATTGATATATTGGAAATGACTATATTTTGTGGGATTGACTTTTGAAAATGTAATCCTTGGATTTGCAATAATGTGTTATTACTTTAAATTTTGATTTGGAAATTGATTATAGAATTGAAAATTGACCACTTGTTGGATTTCTTGAGCATGATGTATATGATGAGAATTGGTGAGTGAACTGTATCTATTATTGTCATGTGCTAAGTGTCTCCATCAATACATGACGATTAGCTTGCAGTGCTTCCCCCATAAGAAGAGAATGTCCCCTTTTCTTGTATTCCCCATAGTGAGGGATTGATTTAGGTTTTATCTCCCAAAATGAGAGATTAGCCATTTTAGCTCATACTTCCCACATAGTGAGGGAATGTGGTTATTGGGATTACATTTACATGATAATATTGATGGATTGTTATGAGAATTTAGATTATTGTGTTGAGATATATATATATATATATATATATCTAAACATGTTTTTATATCTGTTTCATTTGACACCTCACAAGGATATGTTAGTATATATGATGAGCTAGACTGTTCGTTATTGAGGCTTTTATCTCACTTCATGATTTAAACTGTTTTCAGGTGAAAGTTCTAGAGGTGCATCGTCAGGGAAGAATCCAAAGGCCTAAGCTTTTACAGTTTCTTGTATTGCTTCTGCTTCTTTTTGTATGTGTTGAAGAAATTGCATATTGCCATATAGGCCTCCTATCTTTTGTATATTCTCTATCGATTAAATATTTATTTATTTAACCTGTAATGGTTTTATTGAATTATGTTTAAGTACTGGTAGTAGGCCAGAGGATTCTGCATGTGACTTTTGTAGATGAATTGTGATTATTTCTAGTACATGTTACGTATTATTTCAGTAATGGGCTCAATATTGTTTTTATATGGGGGGTTTGAAGCTTAGAGGCCTAGTTCAAAGTGTTGATATTTGACAACTGTGTTAATCAGGGGCTGTTTCCTATAACCATGGTTGTAGGGTTGATTCATTTCACAGGTGGTTTTGCCTGTTCTAATTAATCGAAATCTTTTATTCAAGAATGCTTTCAAAAGATGAGTTGAAACCTTTCCACTATAGTAGTTTTATGTAATTGTTTTCATTTTCTACCATAATAGAGTTTTAATTGACCTTCCAGTAAGCAAATCATCGGTTTTAGATGAAAATTTTACAAGTTTGACTCATAAAAAGTAGTCGTAAAAAAAAGTAGATTAAATCTTTAGATTCTAAATCACCTTCTGAAAACTTATAAATATTATTTTTCTGAAAAAAATATTTAAAAAACTTTTTATGCTAGTTGTAATAAATATATGGTGTAAAAATATATTTTAAACTGATTGTAACGGTTTAAAAATTTGCAAATATTATTTTTTAAATACATATTTTTAATACTTTTTATACTGGTTGCACAACCATCCGGTGTAAAAAGTATATTTTACACTAGTTGTATGTAAAACTGGTTTAAAAAATTTATCAATATTTATAGAAATATCACCAGTCAAAATTTTTCTATTGTTGCCGTAGTGAACAGTGCAGGTTAAATGGTATAAAAAAGTTTTTTTTTTTTAGCAGTGTTAGTTGGAATTATCCTAATGCTAGGTTGCTGGAGCCATGCCTTTTCAATTATCATCCATAAAGCAGAGTGCCTTTCTCATCCATCGTCATTGTCGGTGGGACCAGACTTTTTGTTTGTCCCGCTATCCCCCCCCCCCACTCTCTCTCTGTTTTTTTTTTTTTTTTTTAATTAGAGGCGTATGAAACTTCTACTCACGACTAAAGGCCATATCGGGAACAAGTTTTGCAGGTGAAATGGCCAAATTATCCCTGACAACATTAGGAAGATAGCAAATTTGACGAAATAATTGATTTTCTCCACACATTTAATTAAAGTAATATACATTAATAACTAATAAATTTAATTCTAATTTTTTTTTTGCACATCCAACACTTACCATGTTATTGTTGTTTTTTTAGTTATATCCCACATTCTAATTTTATTTATGATTTAAGGTGTTAGATGTATTATTAATATGATTTAAGTACTAAAAGTATAAAAAAATAATATCAATGTATTAACGAAAAATTGGGAAATTGACAAATGAGACTTAAGGACTTTATGCAAATTAACTTCTATTGTGTTCAACTTAATTTTTTTTATATGTAATTTATCTTCTCTTATGTGTAATAATATTTCTTTGAGCGATGTACAACTCTATTTCTTTTTGTACAAATAAAATTTTCTTATGTGCAAGTCATCTTTGTTGTGTATAAACTAATTTCTTATATCCAAATAATGTTCTATACAAACAATCTTTCCTTTGTGCAATTTAATTTCCTTTGTATGCAATTAATCTTCTCTTATGTAATCAATCATTCTAAATCTCATTTACCGATTAAATTTTTAACGAGGGATTTATTCTCAATTTTTTCTAAGATAAAAGCATTGTATGTATCTAAAAAATATGTCGGGTACTACTTTATTATAAATAAATTCCTCCACCATGAATATCATTGGTGCTTGGTTTAGCTTATTATAACCAATTTTGCACGGTATAAAATAAAGCACATAAAAAAAAAGTCTTTTTCCCAAATAAACCCCGCATCGACTTCTGGTCATTAATCGCCCAATAGGAAAATTTCTCCCAGAGAAGAGATATTGGAATCATTAGTTAATTACTGTGAGCTCTCCGAACTCAGTTTAGCATTTGTTTCAAAGGAGTAATTTATTTAAGGGTTAAGGTGCGCCCAGTACCCCCGAAATATTTTTCCAAATACACCCAGTATCCTAAAGTTATTTATGGTGCAATTTTACCCTTGAAGTATTTAAAATGGTACACCCATATCCAATCTTAACATATCGTTTTGTTTGACCGTGAACTAATGACTCAATTTTGGTTTGACCAAAATAATCCTAGCTGGCATGCGTGACAATCAGCTGATGTGGATATTTAGATTTTTTTTTATTTTGTTATGTTTTATCTGAATAGGTTTTCGTTGATGAGCCGCCTTGTTCGGTTCACAGCTTTCGACGGCTCCAACAATCGTCTCTCCGGTCCAACTCCGGCGTCGTTAGCCAACGGCAGCGGCAACTTGCCAAGATTTAAAGCCACGTCTTTCTCAGGAAATAAGGAACACTACTAATGCCTTTTATTGCCACTTAGGAATAAAGGATTGTCCGTTTTAGCTGTTGTGGGGATTGGGTTAGGAAGCGGTCTCGCAAATCTGGTGCTGAGTTTCACCGGAGCTTGTATATGGTTAAAATTTACGGAAGAGAAGATGGCACTTGAAGAAGGAAAAATCTGTCGGCTTATGCCGGATTATTGACCTTGGTGACAATGGCTTCAGAAGCTCCAAGGTATCTTTAAAAGTGAGGTGGGGGCCATAGCCCTATTTTGCCTTCCTTCAGTTGAGTCATTCATTGAGATTTCATACCTTTCTTTTTTCGATCTTTTTGGGGATACAACAGATTTTTTCTCCTTCCCTGTTCCACTGTTTCCATGCCCTTCCCCATTCCTGACTGGTTCTCTATCATAGTTTCTTTTGATTTTGATTCTGAACAGTGTATAATTGAATTTGAAAGGCATCTTCATCACCCGCACCAGTAAATTGCGCAGCTTTTAATTTTTTTTTTTTTACTGAATTGCTTTGGTGTAAGTTGTAGGATTGAAATCATTTACTAATGGTGCTGGAAGTAGTACAGGGCGATGTAATTTCCTCAATTTTCGATATCCATATTTCTCTGGAGTTGTTGGGATCATTCCATGGAGCAGTATAGTAACCAGGTAAGTGAAAGCACAGGTTCAGATAAAACACGCTTTTGAACCACAAAAAAAAAAAAATCCCAAATAGCCACATCAGCTGCTTATGTAACATGTCAAACTAAAGCTAAGTCATCAGTTCACGGTCAAACAAAACGGATCTGTTAGGATTGGATATGGGTGCACCATTTTAAATACTTCAGGGGTAAAATTGCACCATAAATAACTTTAGGACACTGGGTGTATTTAGGAAAATATCTCGGAGTGCTGGACGCACCTTGACCCTTTATTTAATGAATCACTTTATATAGTATAATATTCTTTTTTGAAAAACTCCAAACAGTTAAAAAAGGTATCCCTCCCCGCCCCCTAACATATCTGAAAACAATACCAACGTCAATATCAATAAACATATACATATGCACATATACTCCTCCGGTCCTTATTATAAGACCCAATTTGACTTTTTATTTGGTCCTAATTATAAGACCCAATCCATTTTCTCTCTTATATTTATGCATTTTTTTTCAAGATAATCCTTCTAATAATGATAGTTTTAGCCAATATACTTAATTAGCAAGGATATTTTAGAAATAACAACACTTATTTATTATAAATAACCAACTTAACTTACTTCTTTAATCTCCTCAAATCAGTCAATTGGGTCTTATAATTAGGACCGGAGGAGTATATAATTATGATGCCTATCGCTAAATTAAAGTTACACGAATTTTTGTCCATAAATATCCCTAGTCATCCCAACTTCAAGCCAACGTATAATTCATAGAGCAGCAAAGCTCGTCCCCATATGTAAATTGTTCAAAAGGCGCGGATTTGTATTCCTCCTCGTCCCCCCCTCTCTCTCTCTCTCTCTCTCTCTCTCTCAAATTTCTCTCTCATTTCATGCCTGCTCTGTGAGGCGCGTGGCCTTCGAATCTCTTCCTTCTCCTTCCTTTCCCCGTCTTCCTTTTTGTGCTCATTTTCATCAACTTCTTAAACACTCTCTCTCCCCCTTCGCTGTTCTGTAACTGCTCATTTGCATCTTAATTCTCTCTCTGGAAATCCTCTCATCATGTGTCACTTGAGCAACACTCTGATAGGGATCCTCAACTTCTTCACCTTCCTCTTCTCTATTCCCATTCTCTGGGTCGGTATTTGGCTCAGCAAGCACGGCGCTACCGAGTGTGAAAAATGGCTCGACAAGGTTTTCATTGTGTTGGGTGTGTTCCTTCTCTTGGTGTCGCTGGCGGGACTGGCCGGCGCTTGCTGCCGCATCTCCTTGCTCCTCTGGATTTACCTTGTCGCCATGTTCTTGCTTATCCTTGTCGTCTTAGCTTTCACAGTCTTCGCTTTCGTTGTTACCAACAAAGGCGCTGGGAAAGTTTTATCGGGTAAAGGGTATAAGGAGTATAGGCTCGGTGATTACTCTCACTGGTTGCAGAAGAGGGTGAACGACTCAAATAATTGGAAGACGATGAAGAGCTGTCTTCAGGCTGGGCAATACTGCTCCGTCTACCAAAAGCTGTATGCCAAAGACGATGTTAACGAGTTCAATAAAGAGAAACTAACTCCGCTTCAGGTATTTTGGGAATTAATTTCGTCCTTCAATATCAACTGTTTCTCTGGGTTTTTATCTGTTGTCACGTGTTTATGTTAGATTTTTGCCTCAACGTGGGTAATTGCGTGTGTTCTGTGTGGATCCAATTCGGAATTCACTTACTGTATTAGCGTTCTTTACATTTCAAGTCATGGTCGGAGCGCGCTCTGCACATGGTTCTTTAGCTATTTGAATTGAATATCTTTGTTAGTCTGAACTCTAGTATGAATACGACTGGGGTTTTTTGTTCTTCAATTTTTTTTGATTTTGTCTTTTCTCTTTTCATTTCGTGTGGTAGTTCGATTTTCTCGATAGACTACCATGAGAGGATAAAAACTCCAGGCAACAGTGCCACCTTCCGCTACCCCGCGGGGAGGAAGGGCCTTTTTTTTCTTCACAATTCCTTTTAACTTTTGAGTATGCTCACAGCTCAGCCCGAGACGGTAAGTTTGAAATTCTAGAAATTTCTGGAAAAGCCGCATATTCGTAATAGTACTCTGTATTTTATACTTTCCGTCTTTTTCTAGGTATTCAAGGTCCATTTTTCGAAAGGAGATGGTCTTTTTAAATTGGTGCCTTTTTTTTTTTTAGTCTGAAAAGTGAAACAAACACCATGCTTTTACTTTATCACGTAATCTCCGATGCATTTTTGTTTGGATTTTTAAAAGTGCGTTCCAAGCCAAGAAGATTTAATTCTTGTGAATTTTTTTAAAAATGTGATGCATTGTACAACGAAAGAGATCACCCATAAAGTTTGGATGTTGCCTTCAGTTTCTAAAAATTGCTGTTTTGAGCTGCTATTCCTTAGTTATAGCCACTAAGTACATGGATGCTGGTGCGTCTAGTTCTTGTTGGCATAAGCTATTTGAAACTGCAAATGAAATAACAGTAAGATTCAAATAAGCTGAGTGTAGCTTATCGTAGTTGCTTATCTAATAGGTATCTTATTTATGCATAATTTACTTGGTACGAGGTACAAGTTCTTATTGTTCTGGTGGAATGTAATGTTCAAATGGTTTGACCGAACTTCAAATGGTCTCTTGGCTCAGAAACTTGAACATAGAATGAAACTAGCACTTAGTTCTGATTGTGAACTAGTTTATTAACTGGTGCTAGAATTTGATATGTATTTGGATCTCAGGGCAAAGCCTGGAAGATGAACTTGACATATCTTTCTGCTAAACTATGGACGCTTTCTGATGTTGACATGTTTGGTTCTTTGTGTGCAGTCTGGGTGTTGTAAGCCATCAAACGACTGTAACTTTGTATACCAGAGCCCAACGGTGTGGAACAGTACGGCAAATTCAAATTATGCCAATCCTGATTGTCGTGCTTGGAACAATGATCCCAAGGTGCTGTGCTACGACTGTAATGCATGCAAGGCTGGGATGGTGCAAGACATCAAGACTAAGTGGAAGAAGACGGCTAAGATTAACATAATATTCCTCATCTTGCTCATTATTGTGTATTCCGTTGGGTGCTGCGCATTCAGAAATAACAGGAGGGACAATTGGAAGTGATGTCATAGGCTCAGAAAAATCAGAATAAACGTAATTAGCATCTAGATGGATCAAGTTAGTTTCTATGTTTCAGTAATAATGTAATATGCTCTGCTTGCTGTAGATTGCTGTAAATTGCTCAACTTTGTGTTACATTTCCCAGTGTTTCTTTGGGATGTATGGAGTCTTGATCTTCTTCTTATTCTTAACTTGATATAGCTCTGTAGAGCTTGTTATCTTACATTTGATTTGCATGTGCCTCGTTAGTTTTGTGCAAAGCATTTTGCTAGTCTGCAAGTAAACCAAGGAGGGTTGAATTGCCCTTTTGAAAATTGTCATTTTTTTGGAGAAAATTTCACATTCTTAATTACTTTTTTTTTCCTTTTTAAAAGCGGGTTCTTGTTATCTTTAAAGTAGATATTAGAGAGGAAAGAAGTGCTGAAGTGGTCCTACCATATCAGCAATAATTCAATATGATAAGCATTCAAGTTGTCTTTCGTTCATTGAATTGAAGTTTGAATTTAAAAACTTTATCAATGAGTAGTGGATTTCTGACCCAAAAATCTTTTGTGGGCCCAACTGAATGGGCCTAATAACCATATTCCCCACTTGATTTGCCTTTAGTTTTCTAATGAATACGGTGCTTCCCTACTCCCCAGGTTTGGGAAATGAATCAATTTTCTTCGATTTATCTGTTTGTATTTTTGAACATTATAGTAAAAAAATGATAAAAAAATTTACTTTTGCAAAAAAAATAAATTATATGCTTACATTTTGAATGTCATAGTTAAAAATCTCTACTTACTTAATAGTTGGGAGTTCATCTTGCAATGAGCACTACTCTAGTTTTATTGATAAAAATGAGTCAAATGTAATTATTAAGATAAAACATTAATATGATTTATCCTAGGGAAAATTTTTTAAAAAAGTTTGACAATTATGTGACAGAATTTAAATTTAATATTTGTTTCATTTTTTTTTTTAGAATAAACGTTTACTCTTTAGGATGAGCAGTTTTCAAGATTTACTGTCTTCTGAAATTATATTAAATGTGACATATATCGTCCATATAACCCCATCGTTGTTTTAAGAGATACTTAAAGACCTATAGTCTGCATATAAATTATTTATTAGAATACCCTAATAGCTATTGTCTAGGCTCATACAACTGAATTGAATTTATTTTCATTGGTAATGTTGACGTTGACAGTTTCAAGAAATACATGCCACTAGTTCGTAATTTTCTTTTTGGCCAAATGATCAAATCAAAATACAACCAAAATTGTGTGGTAGTCAATGAGTGATCTTGCTCTCTGATACATGCGGTGACAGAAGTGCTTCTTCCAAATCTGTTTTGCAACTTATCTGATCATTCTGATCAGTTTTCAGTTGTGCCTCTTCTTTGACCCCTTCAACCTCTTTGGCCTTACCCCACAGCACTATGTACAAACCACTTATCACTGCAAGACCTCCTATCAAGCTGATCAATGAAGAATAATAGCCATTTAGTGCTTAATTATTGTACATTAAACTTTCCCAGGAAAAAAAAAAGTGCATTAGTTACCTTCCAACATATAAATCTTCATGTAGAAAAGTAGCAGAAACCATGGCTGTGATCACTGTGCATAACGGGTTGAACATTGCACAGAACAAAGGGCCTCTTTTTGAGATGGTCCAACTTTGAATGAAAAAACTTACAGCAATTCCAATTCCCTATTAAAGATGAGGAAAAAAAAAGCAGCTTCTATCATTTATTAGTTATTAATAATTGAACAAAACAGATCATGTTAATTTTGGAGGAACCTGGGACTTACTGCATACAAACAACTTGAATATTCTAGAGCTGAATTTAGAATCCATGCTTGGGAATCTTTTTCAACAACCAGTGTGAATATGGCTGACTGTATTGCCGCCATTAAACACATCCAAAATGTTGAAACTACATGGTCCGGGCAGCTTGCAGATACTGGTACCTGCTTCAAATATTAAGCTTCAGATTTCCACTGATGCGAACTAAGACTACACAAACACTGAGGTTCTCCTTTTTCTGGTAGACACTAACAGCTTGAGGTTACAGGAAGAATCAAACTTGCAACCTCCTACTTATGAGGGAGTTTTGATGCCACTAGGTTGCAAAATAATCAAGTTATCTTGTTTCAGTTTCTTTTTTGTTTTTTTTTGGGGGGGGGGGGGGTTGAATATACCTGCATGATCATCCAAAATGCCCAAAAGATACTGCTTGCCAAGAGAAATCCACAACCAAGCAGCCAATTGTCACCATGTAAGCCAAAGGTTTGTTTAGAAAGAAGGAACCGCAAGTGTAACAGTTTCTGTCCTTTGAGCAACGCCATAGTTATGGCTCCACCGACACATAATACTGTTCCTGTTATCTTGGCTATGCTTCTCAAGCTTCTTACATCTATTTTCTCCAATCTAACCCATTTAAGATCAAAGCAAATTATCACAGTTAGCATGAGAGTTAAAGTTTGAGTATCAGATAGGCAAATTAAAATGTCAATCCTCTGTTTACGAAGTGTTTCCAAGTTGCTCAATTAAGAGGAACAAGCGCAATTACCCGAAAATTGTTGCAAGAACGAAGGTTACTGCTGGTATTAGATTACTCATGGCTGTAGTGACTGTAGAAGATGACAAATGTAAACCTTCAAAATAAGCATTCTGATTTGCTGTTACCCTGCAAAACAAAGTCATGCTTCCGGTAAGTTTCATCAACCCTTGTTACAAAAAGGTTTAGATCCTCTCAAATAGGCCAATGATAGAAGTACATGTACATCCATCTAGATCCTCTCATGGCGTTCCATGAACAAGGTGCAGTGAACTATTCTAAGGGGAACAATAGCTTTGGCATATTGTTCTTTGGCATAGTGTAGATGAGTTGTGATTCTGTCTATATGTTGGATGTTAATTTGTTATATCATCAAACTCAAGTAGTAGTCAGAGACGGGGAGAGAAACTTTAAATGTTAAAAGCTCATTAATTTTCCTTTATCTACACTGTCTATGTCACTGGAGAATAGTTTATGTATCTCTTTATAACTGATATGATCTCTAACTATTGTATAAATCAAGTGTTCATCAAGCACACCATCTTTGCTTAAAGAAATATAAAAGTAATAGCACTAACAGAAGTATTATCGAAGTTTTGTTCGTCTGACAAATCTTACCCAATTAAAGAGGTGGCAAACATCAAAGACAAGCTCTTCAATCCCAGTGAAGTCCTGAGAGAAGGTCTCCTGCTAGCAACCATAAATCAATGGGAGAGTATAAGAAACCGAGAATCACAGTAAAAATTGAAGAGGTTTAATTTATTACGTACCTCTTGCAGGATAAAGCAAAGGGAGCCATTGCCAAAGTGGCAATGGCTTGCCTGTACACAACAAAGACTCTGGTGTTCATTCCATGCAAGAGAGCAGCACGCGTGAAGATGGCAAGAACTGCATAATGAAACTGTAAGCCAATCATAGCCATTGCAGGAACATAAACTTCTAACCCACCCACCATCTTTTTCTTTGATACTGCACCAACCTAACGTTAAATGAAGTAACAGACAGAGCCCGTAGGTTTATGGGTATGTGTCCACACACACACACACACAAAAACTCAGACACACATATATTTGGCCACAGCTTGGAAAGCACAGAACAAAGTTGTGGTTAACATTTAAGAATAATGTCTAATGTCCAAAAGATAAGGTTGTGATTGGAGAGTTAACGCCGGAGAAGGAAGATAATGAAAGAGGATATATATCAGGGAGGCCAGAGATAAAACATACATATGAGCGGAAGTTTCTAGTAGGGGAATAAAGTAGTATTAAAATGTGTGAATATGTGATGCGGAGACAGTTGTGGAAGCTAAAATCTTAAAAATTAAATGTTAAATGTGGATTCCTAATGTACCATCGAGCTGTCACCTTCGTGCATTGTACGGGACTCGCGGCGGCTGGTATTATCATCCTAATCCAAATCATCCAATCAGCTGCTTCAAGGACGATATCGGTTTTCCACGTCAACAAAGGTTGGCTCACCCACACATCATTTTGTCAAAATCATAGAACTCACTTAATTTGTTTGTGATTGGTGCGAGGATTAATTAAGCTAATTTGGTGAATTAATTAATATTAAACGCAAGTTGGATTCAGATTCCAGAACGTGACATGTGCTCAAGACATTGCGATCTCATGAAGTACTGTGGGATCATTAATATTGCATTTGATTAGATAACGCATACCCTTGATTATGTTGAAGATTTAGATCTTAAAATATTTAATCGAAAGATTGTAAAAATTATCATTATTTTAAAAATAAAATAAAATTTATTTAGTAGTATAGAAAGGTAACAATAATCAAAATAAATAAATTTTACATAATCAATATCTATCATATAAAAAGGTAATAATATACTGTAATTCAAATCTAATTCTCGGCATTTATCCACATCCGCTCTTGTTGGAAGCCGAAGGTTCATGAACCTTGTTTGTGAGGCTTTTATTTGAGCTCCTTTCCCTATCATTATTACCAGAGTAATATACAGTATACACTGGTAGCGACTGGGACCAAAGCCCTTCAGTTTTAGGCGCCGAAAGCAAAAGGCAAGAACATGGCATTTCATATTATTGTACTGAAAAGCAGGCGAGAAAGAGACGCCCTTGAAGTCCCAAGTCGCCACTAACAAATGCTGTTTTTATTGTTGCCATTTTAGCCGTTCAAACTTAAAATTTCAAATTTAAATTTATGTGAATACGAAAAACGCACCTAAACATGCACCCATATATATAAATAAAAAAGGTTGTTAAAAAGTCATGGGAGATAATAATACAACCGTCAAGCTAGCTAAGTGGGTGTAATATGATTATTAACTAAAATGAAAGATATATTTTATAAAAGACTAAAATATACATTTAGTTTTTTAACTTTTTACAAGATTTCAGATTAATCTCTTAATTTTGAAAAGTGCATTTTGTCTTTTAACCCTAAAATAATTAATCTTAAATGATTTTTTTGGTAATAATTATAGTTGTTTTGAAAATTAAACTTAATAAGTTTGCGTTTGAGAATATTTCATAAACATTTAAAGTCTCAATATCATCATTGTTTATTAATGGTTTTAGAGTTAAAGAAATAAAAATATACTTTTTGAAGTTAAAAAAAACAAATTGAAATTTTGTATAAAGTTAAATAACCAAAAGTATACTTTGGCTTTTAAAAAAATTAATATGAATAAATAATTTAATTAATTTTCTTAATATTTATAAATAATTAGTTATTTAATTCTTAGTTAGTAGTATGATAAGGAACAGAAACCACTTTAGGATAAGTATATGACAGCTGTATTATTTGTCCTTGTACCTATATGTGTTCATTGTTTACTTTATTGTGCCCCCACCTTACCATATAAACATGGACAATGGGAGCCAGTCGACTACCAAGGCTTTTATTTCATTTCCCATTTTGTGAATCTTTTGTCTCCTTTCTTTCTTCCTCCTTTTCAACAATAAATTCAGCAACTATTTATGTGATAAAAAGCTTCTTTTCCAGAACCACATATAGTCCATGGCAGGTAGAGAAATTAAAAGCACCTGCTCTTTTTTTAAGTTAGTAGATAAGATGCTTATATTGCCATGCAAAATTTGGAATATAATTAAAAGCACCAATATTCCTTTATTTAGAATGTGTATTATTCCCATTTGTTCCCTCGAAGCAACAGATTCCAACATCCACTGTCCTGTTAAATCGGATTGAATGCGAGCATAGATGCTTCCCGCAGCATTAATTGCCTTAAGATCTGTAATTTTTGTAGGGCTACAAAATTCACGATACACTTTGCTTTTCTCTTTTCTTATAAATATATTTAGGTTTGATTTGAATGATTTTGTATTAGAGAGGATAAAAACGTCATTTAGCTAATTGAGATGGACTCTATAAAAAAGGGTCTAATATGATGTGTGTTCATTTCAGTAAAAAGAGGGAGGAGGACACCTTGGATGTCTTTTCTTAATTTCAATTCTCATTGCTTAACATTTTGGTAATAGCTTTTTGGTCGAAGAGATCTATAAACAGATGACCCGTGGGATCCCTTTCCTCAGTTTTCCCGAAAGTGAGCGCACATTGGTCTCAGTCTTCCGCCCTTATCGGGCTCGGTTCAGCTCATTTTATGGCCCAACAAATTTATATTTTATTACTGTATTATTTTGCTAAAGTTAATTACTTTTATTTTAAAAGAGATTACAATTTAGAATAAGAAATCGTTTTTATTTTAAAGAACACGATGTTAAATTAAATTAGTGCATATGCTTTAATAAGAGAGCACAATCAATCTCTATATTATATATATAATGTTATATTTAGGTATTCAGGAAGCTAATTAAGATATACATATACTTCTCTTTGTCATCTAGCCTAACCAAGACGTTTAATTTTTATTTCCATGAAATGTGCACTAGTTAAGAGTGCTCAGCGCACGCCAATAATATATGGAGATATATGAAAAGCCAAGTTGAAATTCGTCCCTTTAATTTATCCCAAGAACAGGAAATATGACACTGCCTTCGTTCCTTAATATAATATTTTATTTGACTTTTATTTTGGTCCTAAATATAATATCCCAATCCACTTTGTCTTTCATATTTATATATTTTTTCTCAATGTAGTCCTTCTAACAATAGTAGTTCTAGCCAATACACTTGATTAGTAAGGATATTTCAGGAAAGACAACACTTATTTATTATAAATAACTAACTTAGCTTCTTTCCTTAATTTTCTCAAATTAGTCAACCAACTCTTATAATTAGGACCGGAGGTAGTACATCATTTGGTGCTGAAAAAACAAGCTAAATCAGCTTGTGCTAATTAAGAATGCGGTTGAAGATTTTTTTTATCAGAGAGGAGGGGTTCCTTCAAATCAATTTTACAGCAACATGCTTTCTCATCAAACGATTCATCTTTCACTATATTCATCGTATCATCATGTGATGTTTCATCAATATCAATTTTCAATGTTGGATCTTCTGCCGTCTCACCAACTTCTTCAGCCTTACCCCACAGCACAACATACAACCCCATTATCACTCCCGCTGCTCCTATCAAGCTGATCCAAATCAACCCAGGAAAAAAGAAACCATTAGAGTAATCAAACACTAATCATATATCCTCACAAACATTATCGTTCATACACAGTCGAGTCTTTTAGTAGTTCTGTGGCAAATTAAGTAATAACGAAGAATAATACTTCTCCGGTTCTTAATATAAGACCTATTTAACTAATTTAATTGAATTAAGGAAGTTAGGTTAGTTAGTTAATTATAAAAAAAATATGTTTTTTTAAAACACTATAATCATCTTTCTTATATCCTTTTTCTTTCTTTTACTTGATTATAGTTGATAGAATACTATAGGGATAATTTAAAAAACGATAAATATGATAAATAGGTCTTATATTTATGACAAAAATCAATTTAATAATTAGGTTTTATATTTAATACCGGAAGAGTAGTATGTTATACCTTCCAGCGTAGATCTCTTCGTGAAGAAATAACGCAGCGAATACAGTCACAATCACTGTGCACAGAGGATTGAACATTGCAGAAAAGAGAGGACCTCTCCGTGAAATGCACCATGCCTGAATAAAGAACGACACTGCAGATCCTATGACTCCCTGGTAACAACACACACGCACACACATATGTTATTCCAGTGTGGATCTATAAAAATATAGGAACCATTTATGGATACTTTGGCACTACTCGAAGGAATGTGGAAAATTATGGACATACTGAGTATACACAGCAGGCCAGTTCAAGAACTGAATGGATCTTCCATGTTTGAGGGTCTCGTTCCAAGACCAGAGTAAGTGCTGCTGATTGCAGTGTTGCCATAAAACACATCCAAGCGGACGAAGATATGTGATCTGGGTGGCTCGCCGACACCGGAACCTGACCAAAAACATGAAATCAGAACGTGCAGAGAGCTCTTACGGCACTAGGCTACAAGGCCAAAACGCTGGCTTTGTCAAGCAATGCTAGAAACATTTAGATAAGTACCTGCAAAATCAGCCAAATAGACCATAAACAACAGCTTCCAAACAGAAAGAGACAACCCAGCAACCAGCTCTGATCACCTCCGGACTCCATTACTGGTCTTGGCAGCAGAGTTGAGTTTAATAGCTTTGGACCTCTTAGCAATGCCATGGACACGGCTCCGCTTACGCACATCAAGGTCCCTGCTATCTTTGCTACGCTTCTCGGGCTCCGAATATTCACTCTCTCCATTCTAAAATAATCAAGCATATTCACAAGATAGCGTTAATCAAAAGTTTGCAAACATATATATTAATTAGGTTTGTTTATGTTCAGAGAGTTTATAAATCTGAAGATGGGTTTCGATTCATGATCCCAGTAGAGCTGAGCTGCTAGAGCACTAATTATTTACCCCGCAAAAACAGCAATTATGAATGTGACGGCTGGAATAAGATTTGCCATAGCACTTGCAATTGATGAAGAAGCCAAATGTAAACCTTCGAAATAAACATTCTGGTTGATCGTAACACTGTGGCAGAAGCATAAAAATAATTATTGCATTATCTCAAAGGCTCCAAACCACTAATTATCTAAGCCGCAAAATTCAAGTTACTGAAACTAACAAACCCTATAAGCGAGGACAAGAACAACAAGGTGAAACTCCTTAAACT